TGGGACGGGGACAAAAGTCACCATATCCTGAAGAAAACTATGGCAATGCCTGTGTGCCAAGGGTAACAGTGCATTACAGCCAGTGCTGGGGGAAGGCTCTACCTCCTATAGTATGGCCCTGAGACCTGGGCATGAGTGACTCTGGCCCTGGGCTTTGTGCTTTAAAGGACACTACTCTGGGCCCTATCTGGTCATATCCTCCCTATAGGATGAGGTCATGCCCTCCCATAGCACCAAGGAGCAGTCCCACCAAGAGCTCACACTCCCCTTTTAGAACATGCTCTGGGTACAAAGATCACAGAATTCTCAGCCCAAACTGCTTGGAGCCTGTTTCTAGGGGAGCATCGATAGCGTTCTGAATTTGTCTACCTGAGCCTAGACTGTGCCGTGTGTATGTGGGCTCACTGGGCTCACTGGGCTCACTTGGTAGCTCTTTGGGAGCTCAGATGAATAGCTTGGGTGTAGCCTGAGGTGGGGAGAGAAGAAGACAAAGTCCCTGGGACAGGATGGGAGTTGGGGAGCAGCTTCTCCTGCCCTCTCACATTTTGTATGGAACTCTTAAGGGCTCAGGAATGCTAAATTCAAACCTGGCCTTTCAGAGTAGGAAGATTTATTTGTCAAGGCAAAAGGATTAAACATTTTATTCAATGGTTTGTTGGTTATGGCTAAAATATTTAGATATGGAGCCCATGGGCCTCCATGGGAACTCTCATTCCAGGCCCTGGCAGAGGGAAAGGCTGGCTCGGTGGCCAGGTTTCGCTCTCACTCCTGATACCTGCAGCTCTCCTTTGATTAGGAGATTGGCCTAATCATGGTTGTCATTTCGTACTCTATTTTGAAACATTTCAGCCTGGAATGTGTAAGTGTTAAAATGAACAAATGACTATAAGGGGAGACCGACTTGGATTGAATTCAGAGAATTGTTCAAAGAAATTGTTCTTTATCTTGGCACACTATTTGCACTCAATATATTTTAAAGCATAATAATAATTTTTGATAATAATTATAATTTCTTCATTATTTGGAGAAGGGCAGCTGCTACCCTGGAGATAACACTGCTGTCGCCAAGAGCTTTTGGAAAAACACAATGCTTGCTGATTGTTTGAGAGTATTTTCACCTTTGATGCAGGCTCAGACCCAGAAGTCGTTTCCCTCTGCAATGGGGCCACCTTGGAAAGCAGCGGTGGGAAATCACTCTTTCCGGGGGTCTGCAGTTGGCCATGTCAGGGAAAGAGGGATGAGGAAACCCTGGGATATTTGTTACCATCTTGCTGGACATTTTGCTCTGCAGAAGTTTGACAGCTAATTAAAAATAGTACAGCTGAATGTCAATGACTAATTATGTGAAGGGAAACCTTCAACTCTGGAAATCAATTCTGAGCCTGATGGTGGAACCACGATTTCATAGATTTCTGATTTATTTACTTATTTGGCGTTGTACTGTCGCAGGCCTTTGATGCTTTACAGCAGCAGGTGGGGGTAAGCCTTGGCTGTCCTGCAGTTCCTGATGAGATGCGGTGTGGGAGATGAAAGCAGAAAACGAGGGAGATGCTAGATTCCTCCCCATCTCTCTGCTAATTGTTTCAACATCCTCTCTCCTTAGATTTTTTTTTTTTTTTTAAACCAGCATCGCTTATATAACACAGAGCTTGCCTGGATTTTCTCCTTTCTTTCTCCCTCTGATATGCTAACAGATAGTAGTAAACTGGTCTCAGGTAGGAGAAGCGAAGAGACTAGAGAATTCATTAACTTAATAATCACTCTTTACGTAATTCGTAATGATAGCCTGGTCTCCTCATCAGCAAAATGAGAATAATCATATCCACTCCACAGGGTTATTATGATAATCAAATAAAATTATAGATGCAAACGCTTGTAACTATTGACAGTTTGTGGTGGGGGGTTGTCCTGTGCATCTGTCGTAGGATGATTAGCAGCTTCCCTGACATCTTTCTACCCAGTAGATGACAGTAGCACTCCCCTTCCCCTAAATTGTGACAACCAAAAAATGTCTCCAGACATTCTCGATTGTCTTTTGTGGGGCAAAATTGCTCTCCCCATTGAGAATCACGGCTCTAGCATAATGTCTGGCAGGTAGCACTTGAAATGTTGCAGCTTTTATTGTTAAAGGAAGTGGGAATAGGTAAAGAGGTCATCAAATAAAGTACAATTGCAGAATGTCTAATGGACTTGGAAAGTAGTAGACTACTGATGACTTCAGCTGAGTGTTAGCAGTTAAGAGTGGATGGGAGGTGAAAAAGTGGAGAAGGCAAGGACTAGAAGATTACTACTGGTTTTGCTCTTTTATTACTTTTTATTTTGTTAATCCTCATCTGAGGATATTTTTTTCCATTGACTTTTAGAGAGGGTGAAAGGGAGGGAGGGATGGGAGAAGGGGGGAGAGAGGAACATCGATTCTCTCTCCTGCATGTGCCCAACCAGGGCTGGGGATCGAACCTGCAACCTAGGTACATGAACTTGACTGAGAATGGAACCCATGGCCCTGCAGTGCATGGGCCGATGCTCTAACCACTGAGCAACACTGGCCAGGGCTGGTTTTACTCTTTTAGATCCCTTATATAGAGCACCAGTTACAAATTTTAATGAGCCTTTGAATTTCTTACAAATGATAGAGACCAAGACTAATCTTGGTCTCTATCATTTATTTTAGCATCTTTTAGAGTGAGAGCATAATCTATTTTGAAAAACAGAGAGACAGAGAGGGGTCAGGCCCCCATCAGCTATGCTATACATCCTGCTTTGCGGATATTCAACACCTCAGTCCTGAACTGCAGTCTGCCTGGAACACGTGTGGGATGCCTCTTTGGCACCTGGTTCCATACCAGGCTCCCCTTGAGTCTGTTAGGAAGATATTTATTAAGTTTTACAGGGTTGTAATTCTTTTTCTTGTTCCTTAAGGATATTGAATTAAGCAAAAAACACAAGCCCCGTCCCCCACAAACACCTTTAGTTCTCAATCTCCTTCTGAAGACAATAGTCACTACCACTTCTGGCTGCTGCTGTGCGCCAAACACTAGTACTTTACACATATTATCACATTTTAATATTTATAGCAGCCCTGAAGACAGATACTGATATCTTCCTTTTATAGATTAAAACAGAGAGAGAGAAAGAGAGAGGTTTTGTAACATTTTCAAGATTACACGATTCAATGTGTAGAGGGCCATGTTGAGGCCACCTTTGATCTTTGGTTTCCTTAAATCTCAGACTTATGACTTCTTTAATGTGTTTATGCTGGGAGGGAAGTCAGTGTGGCAGTCATTTCCAGGTAAAGATGGTTTTTCCTAAACCCGGAACAAAACACTTCGATAGCAGGGTCCCATGACCAAATCACTTGTATCATAGAGTCTTGTCTTTTGCCTTCTTTAATCTTTTACTCAGTAATATTATTTTCTTAAGAAATTTTTTATTTATTATTTTTTTTAGAGAGAGAGAAAGAGAGAGAAACATCGATTTGCTGTCCCACCCACTTATGCACTCATTGGTTGGTTCTTGTATGTGCCCTGACAGGGGATTGAACTCCCAACCTTGGCCCATCAGGACGACATGCCAACCAACTGAGCTACCCAGGCAGGGCCTCAGTTACATTCTGACCTCTAGTCTCCAGAGATTTTCTGGGCTTCAATGCAGACTTGCTATATTACCTGAAAAAATTAATAATTATTGCTAACATTTCTAAGTGTTATCATATTTAAACCACACAACAACCTGATAAAGAAAGTAGGTACTGTTATTACCCCCATTTTCACAGATAAAGAAAGTAAGAAACAGAAAGGTCAAGTATCTCTCTGCAGTTGTACACGAGTAAATGATGGAGCTGATTCAAACCAACAGATGCCTGTTTCCATAGTTCATGTTCTTAACTACCCCACAATTGGGGTGAGGGAGACAAATCTGAAATGAGGACTAGTTATAAAACCTCCTTTTTAAGAGTACCTTGTGCATACCACCTGACTCAGCTCAGTGAAGTCAATGCAGGTGTGCACTGCACATAGCAACAGTGGGAGTTACATTGTCATTGTTATTAGAGGTAGTCTTTAGCATTTGTATGACATTTTATTCTTGCAGATTGCAGTCTACTTTATTTTCCTAATGAATATTCACAGGTGCATTGAAATACATAGCATGTTTACATATGTGAGCACATTTACATTATTGGCAAATGTACAGAGAAAAACCACAGCTGGTTACTGGGATCCCATAGCTAAGGTAATATGCTTTTTTCCCTAATTAAACCTGCTCAGTAAAGCAGAACATCCTCACTTTTCATCACAACCTCTAAGGACTGAACATCCTATCATTCTAATCAGAGATAAAATGGGGAACTCAATGTATCAGTCAATCAATGAGCAAATATTAATTGATGACAAATTTCAATGCATTAGAAGTTGAATTTAATATTGAATAAAATCTTTGGTATTTGCTCCAATTCTTATTTCATAATAGCAGCCATCTGTATCGATGCTTTCATATCAGGTATTCATTGGGATACTGTCAGTATTTTCCTTGTTCAACAACCCTGCACACTGCTAACCACACAAACCCTTGAAAATGTTCAGCTATAAATAAACAAGTGTCTGAGTAAGACTTTCTCATATTGTATCTGCTTCTCTTTGGCTACAAGAGCTCCAACCAATGCTGTGACAAGCAGTGATTCTTTACTTTTATCCAAGGATGGACTTCTTACTGATATTTTAGATTAGTAAGCGAAGGGTTTTACCTGTAAAGTACAAACAGGTATGCAGAATAAGTTTAGAATCTAAGTTCCACTTTGCTGTTGCAGCATTATTATTTGTGCATGCATTTTAATAGTATCTGATTAAATGAAATGCATGAACTGGAACAAATGCCTAATTGCAACAACTTCATTGACCCAATAAACTACAGTAAGTAATGAAAGTCCCACAATTAAACAACAACAATACCCCCAAAATTATATGCCATCATTATAGAAAACATACACAATCATCATCTCAAGTACTGCATATCTCTGTTGGGAATAATTGAATTCTGACTTGGAAACAGCCTTGCTTTAAATAGACCATTGAAAGCACTGCCTCTCCAAACCCTCAGTCCTGGATTACCAGGGTGCTGAATTGGGGGAGTTGAAAATAACAGACCCTTACAATTAAGTAACACTGTTAAGAGGAATGCAATTGACTTTCATACAAATCCCAGGGATAATAACAGTTTTTTATTTTCCATCTTTTAATTCTGCCTTTGCTTAGCTACGAGATCCCACAAGAATCTAATTTTTAGGAGGGAAAAGAGGCCAGATTTCTATTGCCCCCCTAAAAGAAAAAAAAAACATCGTTTCTTCAGGATTTCACATTTTTAAGTAAGAGCGGGTATGGAGTTTCAATGCATATTCTTAGAGAACCACAGAACCCCAAACTGATTAAATAAGCTTCGGGGAAAACACTGCGTATTAAAGTAGAAACAAAAAGAAAAATTACTTACCCTGCAAATTTCGTTTGATTTCTGGAGACTGTGAAGTTCAGGCACCTCAACTCCTGTTGCCATTTACTGACAGCGGACATGCCCAAGCAAAGCAAACTTTGCCTTTCCCAAGACCCGGAAACTGTGGAAACGAACAGAAAGAAAATCACCCATTTTTGCCTCTAAGGTGACATCACTTGTGTGCTGCTTTTCCAGCTTCCCTAATAGACCTTACTGCATGTGTCATAGCTGCTTTAGAACGCATCCGTTTTCTGTGGGAGATTTGGGAGGGACCCTAAACTGAATGTTGCTTGGGGCAGCCCTGCAGAGCCTCTGTCCTTGGTGCTGAAAGAGAGGAGTAGTAGGCAGATGAAGGCAGGATCCGTTTTCTACCTTGCTCTACCCTTCCCTCTCTGCTTCTATCTGCTCTGTGCAATGCTCTTTTAGCTCACGTGTGTTTCCCCCTCAGTGCTCTTTTTAATCCCACTTTCCCACTCACTGTCTTTACTTCTATGCTTTAATTTCTTCATCTTCCTTAGTTTAATTGTTCCAGCTTTTGGTGGGTGTGAAGATGATTGGCTCAGCAGAAGGAACAGATCAACAAATTCATACCACAAGTGGTTAATAGAAATGAGTACAATTTAAAACACAACTGACAGAATAATTGAACTTGGAGGTGTAAGCCTGTGTGGGAAAAGAAGGCTATATATTACAGTGGAAGAAAAACTGAGGCATGGAATAGAACTGGTGATAGAGATGAAATAAACTTAATACTGTGAGACATGTTAAATGTTTCACTTAGCAGCACCCATTGTTTTCAGAGAAATTTACAAAAATATTTTTCAATAAATTCTTATTGCTCTTCTGGGGTATGTATGAATCATTTTTATTAACTCAACTTTAGAATTGGCTAAAGTAAGATGCAACTAAGGACAGCGTAGGTGAGACCCTGTTTCTGAAGCGGCACTAGAGCTTAGGCAGCCTTGATTCATGGTCTGCCGCCTGTTCACAGAACACTTTACCATGGAATCCTAACAATTCCCTGTTCTCTTGTTTTGATTTCTTCTCCTTCCTTCAGACAGCGTGCTAATTCTTCCACTGCTTTCTCTGCCGACAGTGGACGTGCCTGGCAGCTGCAGTGCAGGCTGTCACGGGGAAGCCAGTCTGAGCTTGACGGCGACGGAGACCTCTGCTGGCTGAGAGAGAGGGAGCAGCAGCAAGGTCTAAATGCTTCTAGCAACCATCGCTTATTGAGCATGTACTATTATCTAGTCATTTTCATGCATTCCCTCTTTTAATAGTTTCAATAACCCTCAAAGGTGGATATTATTTCTATAACCCTAACTTATAGATAGGAAAATTGAGGTTTAGAGAGGTTAAAATGATTTTGGAAGGTCACAGATAGCCAAGATTTGGATCTAGACGTCTTAATTCTGGAGCATGTTCTCTCTTTTTAAATCCTCCCCTCCCGGAGCATATGTTTTTTATTGACTTTAGAGAGAGAGGAAGGAAGAGAGAGAGAAACGTTGACCAGTTGCCTCCCCTACTTGCCCTGACCTGGGATCGAAACTGCAACTTAGGTATGTGCCCTGACTGGGGATTGAACCCAAAGCCTATACGTGTACTGGATGACACTCCAACCAGCTGAGCCACCGGGCCAGGGCTTGAGCATGCTCTCTTATCCACTGTGCAATAATTATTTACAAGGTAGAAAATTTATATTTCCCAAGAGACTGACACTATGTCATAGAGATAATTATAATGACAAAAATGATATCAGTAATACAATATTTGTGTGGTGACATAATTTATAAAGCAATTTCTAATTCATGTTCTTGTTTGCATCTTACATAAATCCTCATGATGCCCAATTTTACAGAGGCTGTTATGGATTTAATTATACCCCTCCCCCAACTTATTTATTGAAGCCTCAACCTCAGAATGTGACTGTATCTGGAGATAATGNCCAATTTTACAGAGGCTGTTATGGATTTAATTATATCCCCTCCCCCAATTTATTTATTGAAGCCTCAACCTCAGAATGTGACTGTATCTGGAGATAATGTTTTTAAAGGGGGTGATTAAGCTAAAATGGAGCCATTGTGGTGTGCCTTCCTCTGATCTGACTGGTGTCTTTATAAGAAGAGAGTAACACCAGGGATGCACATGTAGGGACATAGCATGAAGGGAACCATTTGCAAACCAAGGAGAGAGACCTCAGGAGACACCAAATCTCCTGACATGTTGATCTTGAACTTCTAAACTCCAAAACTTTGAGAAAATTAATTTATGCTGTTTAAGCCACCCAATCCGTGGTGTTCTGTTGTCAGCCATAGCAAACTAACACAGAGGCTTAGAGAGTTTAGGTGCCACATTGAAGGTTGGTTGCTCGTTATTTATAGGGTATAAATGCGTTGTCATGTGGCATAGCTCTATTGAACACGCCCTAAGACTGGGTGATGGGTGGTGAGGCAAGCAGCCCTTTCTTTCAGGACACCAGTTTAGGTAAAGAGCAACAATTATTTCTTTTAATCTGGCACATTTTATTCATACAACACTGAGCAAGTTTCATTCTTTCAAGTAAACAGAACTCTTATTCATGATTGGCACTGAAGATTTTGAGAACTCCAGGACTCCTACAGAACAGGCATGTTTGGGCAGAAATCAAGAAAAATACAGATTCTTTTCCTCATCTTACTTCCAGGAACCCATCTCAATAGCATGGCTGGAACATTCTCATGTACTAGACAACAGCGTTCATCAGGGAAGGTTTTATCTTTTGAATCTGAAGTGGAAGGTGAGTTTTTTTTGTTGTTGTTGTTAATCGTCACCTGAGGATATTTTTTCCACTGATTTTTAGAGAGAGTGGAAGGAAGGTAGTGGGCGGGGGGTGAAGAGAGGGGGAGAGAAAGACACAGAGAGAGAGAGGCATCAATGTGAAAAAGGCACATCCATTGGTTGCTTCCTATGCACACCCTGGGATGGAACCTGCAACCCAGGCATGTGCCCTTGACTGGGGATTGAACCCGGGACCCCTTTGGTGCCTCGGCCTATGCTCTAACCACTGACTCACCCTGGCCAGCACTGAAGTGGAAGGTTCAAAGGTAGAGTTAAGAGGTATTGGTGTCTGATTCATGGGCATGCTCAGTGATTTTATTTGAAAGTAAATTGGTGTGAGCTTGTGGTGAAAAGGTTTCTTTCTAGTCTTTGTAATGCTATTCCAGGGTAGCAGTTCTTTGGTTTAATCACAGGAGCCTTGCCATCAGCATCAAACATGGACACCTCTCTAAAGCTCATACTCAGCAGGACAGTGTGGAGACCAACTGAAGCAGTGTGGGCAGCCAGTTTGCAGGGCCCTGTATAATGGAGGGACATTTGTTTCCATGTCTTACCATAACAAGCATTTGTCACTGTAAATAGGTAGATTGAGATGGATGATCTTAAATTGCATGGATACCTATATCTACTCTAAAGAAGAGCCCCTCAGTGTATTTTTCTTTGGAATTAGATGTCAAGGTGTAGAGTATAAATGTAAGTTGGCAAATGCAGTAAGTGAACTAAGCAATACAGTTGCTTCTTCCCAACACCAGCCTTCATTACTCTCCAACGACACGGATGATTTTGCCATAGATGAGAGCTGTCTGAGGGGGCCTTAGATTTTATGTTTGAATTCACTCTGTTGCTGTAAAAATGTATTGAAATAAAAGAATAGCTAAATTCATTTATTATTGCCCAGTACTGGGCTCCAGTCTTGCTTCTTTAAGCCATTTACCTTTAGAGTGATTATGGATAGGTATGTATTTATTGCCATTTTATTGTTTATGCTTCTCTGTTTTGTTTCTTCCAAGACCCTTTAACATTTCTTGTAATACTGGTTGGGTGGTAATGAACTCCTTTAGTTTTTTCTGGTCTTGGAAGCTTTTTATTTCTCCTTCCATTTTAAAGGATAGATTTGCTGGGTAGAGTAGTCCTGATTGTACGTTCTTGCTTTTCATCACTTTGAATATTTCCTGCCAATCCCTTCTTGTCTTAAGTGTTTCTGTTGAGAAACACTCAGGCAACCCCCTCTTCACAAGGTTTATCTCAAGCCCTGGATGTGAACCTCATTTCTCCTGTGTGCAGACACAGGGCTGGGCCTGATTGGGGAGCAGAAGGTCCAGTGGGCAGAAGCAGCATCGACTGGGGCCAGGCAGAACTTGAGGCCTCCAGATCAGCAGTTGGTCACTGTCATTGCAGAGCTCAACCCAGGACATCGGGGAGCAGTTGGTCAATGGAGACCCCCAGCCCGTCTCCACCAAAAATCTTATGAAACCAAAAAAGACCCCAAATAGCCACGGCAATCTTGAAAAAGAAAATCGAAGTTGGAGGAATCACACTACCTGATACCAAACTATACTACAAGGTCATAGTAATCAAAACAGCATGGTAATGGCATAAAAACAGACATATAAATTAATGAAACAGAATAGAGAGCTCAGAAATAAACCCACACCTTTATGGTCAATTAATGCTTGACAAAGGAGGCAAGAACATACAATGGAGTAAAGACAGTCAATTCAGTAAATGGTGTTGGGAAAACTGGGCAGATACATGCAAAAAAAAAATCAAACTAGACCACCTTCTTACCAACAAGAATAAACTAAAAATGAATTAAAGACTTAAGTGTAAGACTGGGAACCATAAAAATCCTAGAAGGAAACATAGGCAGTAAAATCTGGGACATTTCTCATAGCAATATTTTTTCTGATATATTTCCTTGGGCAAGGGAAACAAAGGAAAAAAATAAACAAATGGGACTACATCAAACTAAAAAGTTTTTGCATAGCAAAGGAAACCATCAACAAAATGAAAAGACAACCCACAGAATGGGAGAACATATTCCACAATAATACATCTGATAAGGGGTTAATATCCAAAATTTATAAAGAACTTATAAAACTCAACACCAAAAAAACCAAAACAATCCAATTAAAAAATGGGCAAAGGACTTGAATAGATACTTCTCCAAAGAGAACATACAGATGGCCAATAAACATATGAAAATATGCTCAATGTCACTAATCATCTAAGAAATGCAAATTAAAACCACAATGAGATATCACCACACACATCTCACCATGGCTAAATCAACAAACAACACACATTGGTGAGGGTGTAGAGAAAAGGGAACCCTTGTGAACTGTCGGTGAGAATGCAGATTGGTGCAGCCACTGTGGAAAATGGTATGGAGTTACCTCAGAAGATTGAAAATGGAGCTGCCTCATGGCACAGTGATACCACTTTTGGGAATATATCTAAAGAAACCAGAAATACTAATTCAAAGGGCATACACATCCCTATGTTTATTGCAACATTATTTACAATAGCCAAAATTTGGAAGCGGCCTAAGTGCCCATTATCAGATGAGTGGATAAAAAAATGTGG